TTTTTTTTTTTTTTTAATCCATGCTGCTAATTACCATGTCCGATGCTTGCAGCTGTGCAGTGGTTCCCTTTAACAGTCCAGCACTGTGAGCTAATGAGTGAATTTGACCACCTCTCACTTGTCTCTGGGGCAGCTACCTGGTTCTCTTGAGTGATGCTCCGTCCTGTGCTTTTCCTGCTATAGGACCGAGGTTGAGGAGAGGGACATGGAGAACTGTTGGGCTCAGGAGAACTGACCTGGGGGTCGGAGGTGCCTCTGAGGCCTGACAAGCTCCAGGTGTTTTCAGAGAGGTGCATCCTGCTTCTTACAGCAGGTTAGGAAGCGCTTATAATTTGGTTGCAGTAGCTATTGCAAGGAGAGCAAGATCACGGGTACTACAGCTGTCATTTCTGGTATCTCTTGCCTCCTAAAAAGGCTAAAACTTATTATAGGTAAAGTTGTCTTTTGCCAGGTATCTTCTAAGGAAGCACAAGAGGCAGTCCGTACATATGCAATGCCCAAGTTACTGCTCATTTTAACAATATATGATTCTTTAATTCTGGTTTTAAAGGCCTGAAGGTCCCTCTCTCCTGTGCTGAGGTAGAACAGAAAAAGCAGGTTTATCCCATAGGCTCAGAGCTCCCTTGGTTCAGGGTGGTCATTGTAGTCGGTTACAACATTCTTTGCAGTCCCTGCCTTTCTAATATGCGGGTCTCTGCTTAGTTCACAGGGTAGTTACCTACATCTTTGTATATGAAGACCTGATATCCTTGACCTGCGGTGCCATCATCATCTGGTATTTTGCTGGCAGCTTTGAGAAGAATGTGGGCACCGTGAAGCACTGCTTCCTCACTGCTGCATTCGCTGTCCTCACAGCTTTTCTGTACCTCCTGCTCGAGACTGTTGTCTCCAGGATGGGAGAGGTGGAAGATGCCAAAGGATTCATGCCAGTAGCTTTTGCAACGCTGGGGGTGTCCACGACCCGCTCGCGGATGAAGAGGGCTCTGGTTTGGGGTTTTAGGATCCCCGTGGTGCTGGTGCCGTGGTTTATGCTCTGCATGGCCTGGTTTATCCCCCACTCTTCTCTCCTGGGTAACCTATGTGGACTCTTAGTTGGGGAAGCCTGTATCCTTTCTGAGTGGGAATGCCTGAGCTGGAGGGTGGGAGAGCTGCTGCTTGAGGTGGGAGAACATGTGACATTTCTTGTTGGCTAAATGCTTTATGGTGTTGCCCGCGTGAATTCATGGCTCATGCTCTGCACTAAACTCTCAGCTTTTGCTAATCCTCACCATGCCAAATTCTGTTTTTGTATATGCAGGGAAAATGCAGCTGAGCAGGGTTGTGACCAGTGAAGGTGGCACTGCACAGGATTGGCAGAATTCACTGGTTTGTGGCCCAAAAGGGATTGTGTGTGTGACTGTTAGAAATGAGTGCATTTTGTCTTCAGTTCTCCTTAACATACCGCTGCCTCCAGATGGTCTTGGATACTGTTTCTGCTTGGATATTCCAGAGTCAGTGGCCTCTAAGCTGGATCAAATGTTTCCTTTTAGTCTGCTAAGGAGAATACCGGGGCTGAGATACATTCCAGGGACCTTAGCGGAGAGAAGAGCCTCTGAAAGCAGCAAGTAAGTACAGGAGTTGCAGTAGAAATTCTCATGATAGAGGAAAGTTTTGTGGTATAAGTAATAACATTATGCAGCCTTTAAAAACTCTTGTGATCGTCACACCACCTGAGGGTGTTACACCCGTAGAATTGCTGTGGCCTAATATGTATCACACATTAACTGAGTCCATGGAGGGGAGGAAAATAATTAAATTTGGTTTAATTGTCCCTCACTGAATGCTGAGCTGAGGTGAAGGGCTCTCGTTTTCTGCAGGGACAACGTATGTATGCGCAGCTCAGCTGAGATGCATTTTTCTGCTGTCACGTTAGGGCCACTGAGGTTTGTTCCTGATTATGTTGCTCCATGGGGCATGATCTTTATCTTCCTTTCCTCCACCTTGCCTCCAAGGAGTGCTGTGGAGTGATTCATATCCAAACTGTGCCGCGTATTAAAAATGTCACTTGCAAAATTTGTTGTAGACCTTCCCTGTGCGTGTTTTCCATGATGAGGCAAGATTACTTTACTGGAAAGAAACCTTGGGGCCTGTCGCTGACATTCAGGAATGGCTTTAAGTTCCCATACATCACAAGCCATGATTGAAAAAGCCATTGAAAAAGCTCCAAAATATAGGTTATTTTTTTCCCTTTTCAGTCATGCCATTGCAGTTTCCCAGAAGAAGAGGGGATTTTTGTTGAATGTTATATTGTGTGTAGTGTTTAAGCCATCAGCTCCCAATAATGTACCCTCCTAAGAGGAAGCATTCCCAAATTTTTGCTTTTACACTCACGTGAGGGGAAAACAAAGTCACAGAGCCTTCCTGGTAGCCTTATCTGCAGCCTTACAGATCAGTTAAGGCCATCCAACCTGTGCACCAAGTACTTGCAGAGGAGCTGGGCAAATCTGGGAGCATTTTACCCTTTTCTTTCTGTACTAGTACAGCTTTTGGGAGGGGGGCACTCTCCTATCCCGTGCTCTGCCTGTGTCTAGATCAGTGAAACACTACTGCTAATAACATCTGTGCAGAGTGTCTCAGCCCTGAGTCCTCTCTTTCGGAGAGACAGCTTAAATAGACTGTTCTGGCTGGAATGTATTTACATAAACATTTTGACTATCAAGCAGGGCGTGGGAAGGTGTTTCTAGGATGTTTCCAGTTCAGCAGCTGAATTTACACATCTCTTTGTTATAGTCCCCAATCCTATACTTGCTTCTGGGGCTTAATTTTATTATTTTGATGCTTGCTTATTCCTAGGAGCTCTTGACTTAAAATTCGCACATCTTCAGGCACCAAGTTGCTACCAGACAGGAAACATTCCTAGAGGATTAAGGCTTTTACAGTATGATGTGTGTCCATCAGTGCTCAAAGAAACAAAAATCCCCAAATATTCTCAAATCTCTAAACCACAGAACTCCAGCCTTAGCCAGTCCCTTACTCTTAATGCAAATTTGGCTGTCAGAGCCTTCATGAATATTGTCTTGACTTCCTTGACTCCCTGTTCATCTTGGGATGAACAATACTCCTAAAGTCCCAAAGGCTGTGACTCTTAAGCGGATTGTCTCTTGATGTGTTTCAGCAGGGTGAGTCATTGCTTCTGTTGGCAAAGGCAGTTTCTAGGCCTTGCTTCTGAATGAATCATTTTATTTGTGGTTCTCCCCTCCTTCCCTTTTTTTGCTCCGTATTCTGGACTCCTGCTTGCACCACATAGCTCTCAATTGCTGATAAATAGCACTTGGCAGCTGTGGCTTCTCTCCATTAATGACTTAAAGGATGTGTAGTTCAGGGGAAAGTAGAAAGGATGAGTATGAAAATATTGAAGTGCATTGCAGTTTAGCTTGCATGTTCCTAGCGTGGAGAGAGATAGGACTGGAACCCCACTGGTTCCGTTGGTGTGGAATCAGTATGGAGTGGGAGTGGGAATATTTGTCCTGGGAGAGCAGTAAACTTATTTTTACTCCTTTGTGGATTACAATAAGGGCTTTGCTTGTCTCTGGTAGTTTGCTGTGACCTTTCTGGAGGTCAGGAGGAAATCTACCCCCAGGACACTTCCCGCACTAATTAGGTAATGTCAGCTCTGAACACAATATAACCTTCTGTTTCTTCCTTCCCAGGATTAAACCTGTGCCAGGTTCCTATCCCACCCAAAGCTACTACTGCTCTTCGCCTCCCGCTCCTCCTGCTTTCCAGATGCAGCACCCCAGCATCCAGAGCCAGGGATTTCAGCCGGGCGGTGCTCTGGGATGCAACCATGCTGCGATGCGGGAAGGGTCTCAGGGCAGCTGCGCTCCAGGATACGGCCTCGCTTCTCCCCCCTACCAAACCCAAGGTGCCTTTGGAGGCCGCTGTATCCAGCCCCACGTGGGAGCCCCATCTGGGCAGTGCTGCTGGCCGGCCGAGCCCTCTGCCCACGGGCACCTGTGCCCGGCTGCCCCGCAGGTACCCGCAGCCTGGGAGCACCCGGCTGGGGTGCAGCAGCCAGCAGGGTATCCAGCAGCCACGGCGGCTGCGGTGCCAACCGAGCTCTTGGAAGTCCAGGTGTCCTGATGCTCCAGGAAGCAGCAGGATTCTCGTACCATGGCAGGACCACCGGGTGCAATATTCGCGCATCAGGGCATTGCTGGTGTTGTTGCTCTGCCTGGATGACCAGCTAAATTGGCCGACAGGAATTGCTATTCCTCCTGTCCCTCGCACGGGCTATTTTATTTATAGCTCCTTTATAATTTTGATACTTGGAGAGACTGTAAAACTTCTTGGCACTTCTCACCATCCTGGAGTCTGTTTTTCTCCTTGCCTTTAGTAACCATCTTTTTTTTCCACTCAACTCAGTGTCACAGTGCATCTGTTTGCTGGCGCAGAGCACAGACTGAAGTAGGAGTCAAAACACTGGACAAATTTGGGGCTGAATCAAAATCCCCATGGGGATTAGGACTTGTCCTAGCTACCGTGAGTCTTGGCCTTTTTTCTCACTTGCGGGCATAATTTAAGTAGGATCTCAGGGAGGCTGAAATCCTGCCTTAGTTTAGAACTTAGTAAGTGAGGGGAGTGGGAATTCTCTCTTCTTCTAGGGTCTTTTCCACTGAGTGTGTCCTCAAGGGGTTTATGGCAATTTTGTCCATGTGGCCCTGGGGTGGCAGGAGATAAAGAACACCCATCTCTAAGTGCTACTGGTCTGTTCTTAACTACAGTCTGTGCATGTGCAGACTTGTTGCCTCCAGTGTAACCTCAGATACATGAGAAGTAATGGAAGACCCTCTAAAAAGGGATTTAGGGCATTCATGGAACAAATTGTATTTTAAATATGCATAAATCAAAGGAGACAGAAGGGACCTTAAATGCAGGTTAGAATCAACTGGAATGTTGCCTTTCCGGTAGGGGTGGTGCAATGCTCACACTGCTCTGCTTTGCGTATCTCGCCCACCAATATTAGCACAATCCCCGTCTGTTTTCTTCAGAACTGGTGAAAACAAAAGCAGGTGGGTGGTAGGAGTTTCCAGTCAGTGACTGAGGACAGGATGTGGTAGCTGGTGCCAGGCCTAGTCATGAAGGAGCTTGGCTAAGTTGCTGGGACTTGGAGGGCCAGAGTTTTGCCTCCGGCTGTGCCGTGCCCAGGAGGAATCTGCCATCTCTGTTTCCGTAAGGCAGATGCAATCTGTACTAATGCCATTGACTTACTGCTTAGAGGCTTGGTTAGCCCCGCAAAAAGTGTTCTGTGAACCACAGAGTGCCATTCCTGCCTTTGGAAATGTTCTTGCAATGCCCAGCCTATCCCCCTAAGGACTGGGGCAGCGTCTGTGCTGCTCCTTGATGTCCTTGGGGCCAGAGCTGCAGCTGGGAGGCAGTGTCACCACCGGGGCTGCATGCTCCGAATTGTGTACGTGCCTCCTTTGTCCCCCTTGCGCACCTGGGTGCCCGAAGGAGCCGCGTGTTGCTGCGGAGCCGCTGCTGCAGCGGCTCTGCCGCGGTGGCGACTGCAGTAACGCACGGACTGAAGGACCGTGCTGCAAACTGGGACCCAGCCCGCGGCGCTGCTGGAACGCGGGCCGCTTTGTCTCATCCCCAATCGCTTCTGCTGTGTCTGTGGGATCACAAACGGGCCTGGTGACGTGGTCGGACTTGCGGTAACTGCCCACGGCAATTGCCTCGCTGTGCGTTCAGCATGGAGCCACAACAGGATGAGAGACTTAATTAATACCGGCAAAGAAATGCTAATGATAATCACTGAAGTGTTGATTAGCGCCTTTATTTTCCTCGCTGTGCGGTCTTTGTAAACCTGTTAGTTTTACCCCTGCTGTTTCCAGCAGCGTGCGGAGAATGAATGCAGCAGGGTGACGGGGACGGGCCGCAGCTGCGTCTGCGCTCCCCCCAAATCATGAGCTGGAAATACAGCCCGCAGGGCGAATTATTCGGGAAACGCGCTCGGGAATACGGGTCACTTTCCTTCCCCACTCCTAGCGGAGCTGTTGAGGGATGGCGCGTTTTCCACTGAGCCCTTCCATGGGAAGCACTGCGTGCATCGAGGGAAGGAGACGGGCCCTGGGAGCCGCTCGCTCCGCGGGGAAGGGGCTGCGGGCCGGAGCCAGACGGGGAATGAAGAGGGGGGCCCGGGATCAACGTTGCTCTTGAAAAGGGGGAAATGAGAAACGCGCAGGGCGGCCGGGGTTGCTCCGGACCCCGACACCCCAACCTGACACCCCCGCCAGACTCCCTTCCCTCCCGCCCCCCCAAAACTTCGGTTCTTCATTGCCGCCCCCCACCTCCTTTCCGAGGCTCCTGTCTCTTTAACACGCCCCCCACCGCACTGGGCGTGGCTTGGGCCATACCAACGGCACTGCGGGAAGGGGGGGGTTGCCGCGTGAGCGCGCGCAGCCCATTGGCGGGGCGGCGGGGGCGGCGCCTGCTCCCCCCCCGC